TTTGGGGGCGCTAATTTCAAATGAAAAGAGGCAACGCCGGGCTGAACAGTTCCGATTGAAGCCGGTGCGGGGGCAAGCCTCCCCCTCCCCATATGGCAATCTGCCAAACAGCCAACCTGGCGCCATGTTGGCATGAACCAGCTGTTCAGCAAAGGCAGGATGCGCAGGGTACCCAATCCTCAACACATCTTGGTGTCTGAAAACTGGGACCCGTCGGATCCCCTATGGAAGCCCATCGAAACCGTCACCCCTGAACCCCAGATGCGAAGAACAAAGTCCATTTTTTTTCAGTCTTTACCACTCCAAGAGCGCTCAAAGAGTCTCTGATTTTCGAGCCCCTTTGCCTGGCACCCCCGTGGGCGGCAAAAGCCATGCATTCATAAAACCCCAGGTTTGTGTGTTTTTTTTCCTGGTTGATAGGAAATCGCTCGTTTTGGTGGTGGGAATTGCCATGAACCAATGAGACAGGTCGTACTCGGCGGAGGATAGGGAGGGAAACTAAGCATGACCCATTTGAACTCCGCACCAGCACCCAGCCAAAAGCTGACGTGAGAACCAACGAAACTGGCTTCGGTGCCTGGCAAACTCCTGCACTTTGGGCCTGCTTGCCATGATTGCAACGAAATTCCGTCATAACGCGCATACATATGTAGCTATAATATATATTTATATGATATGTATATATATATATATGTGATTACATGTGTATATATATATAACTACGTGGGTGTGTGTGTGTATGTATATATAAATATTATTAATGTAGAAAAGTATACTCATGCTATTGTCGACTTGACTCTTGCCCCCAGTCATCCGCACTCTTCGTCAGGACAAGCCCTGTCTGAGCCCTGAGCTCACGCGTTGAGCGCCCGCAGCGGTGCCTCACAAGCAGAGAGATGATCCCAAAATGAAGGGTGCATCCCAAGACGTGTTGATGAAAATGACGTGTTTGGCTCCGAAAAGTGGGAAGCATCCATTCAAAAGAAAGAAAGAAATCTCAGGCTCCCGGAAAAGATGAAATAGGGGGACAACTCACAGGGTTCAAACCCCAAAGCGATACGCAAAGCTGGTAAGATCTTCCGACAAGACGCCTTTCAGGTTATCAAGTTTTGGTGCCGGCGAATGCTGAGGCTCCGGCCCGATCCTTGGGCTTGGGGCTGACCTGTGGCAAAACGCATCGAAAGGCATCACCAGCGGGGTGGTTTCTCGACTCGGTGGTTTCGAATCGATCCACTTGGAACACTCCAGGCCTTCTGCGGCTCCTGCGGCTCCGAGCAAATCCGAAAGGGAATTCAAAACCGCCATGAAACAGGGGCATCATGTTGACCCCATATGAATGAACCAACTTTTAGGGGGGTACTTCCATGAAACGGGCATCATGTTGAATCAGCCAACCAGCTTATCAATAGGGGGGTACTGCTCGCAGGGTGAGATGTGGGGAATCGGACCACTTTTGGAGGGGCCAAAACCACCCGCTGATTGAATAACCGGGGTTGATTCATACGGGGTCACCATTATCAGAAACCAGCAAGGCCCTAGCAAACCGGGGTGAAGGTTGCGCCGCTTTGACTGTCCCTTGTGACCCATGGAGGGAAAGGCAAACCTAAGAACCAGAGGCCATTGCGAGCGTGCAAAAACGGCATTGCAAAAATGTCCGGCATACCCTGAATGATGCAAAGGATTGAATTAGATCTCTGTAGGATCTATTCACAAGTTCTGTTTTTGAAGATCGGTGCAAGATCTCATTCCAGAGATTAGAGGAACCTTGCAAGATCTCTGCACGAGTTCCCGCCGGAAGAGCCGAGAAGGTTTCTGCGCAAGGTCCCTAGCGTAGATCTCGACCAATGACCTCTGAAATGCCCCTATACCAGGCATCCTTCAGGCAGGCTGCCTTTGCTGTGCCCTAGATCTGTCTTTGGCTCTAGACAAGATTGGGTGCCAAGGATCTCCTTCGCGCTGCGCCTTCGACCCGAGGTCGGGAAAGGGTTATGGGCATAAATGATGGCCCCGGTACATGGAACAAGACCAATCTAAACCAGTGGAACCCATCGATTTCTATCCAAACTCGCCGATCAAAAGGAAACACCCAGGTTGATGAATGGAACCCCTTCCAGTCACAGCCTTCCCAATGGCTGGATTCCTTTGAACCAATCAGAGTAGGAACCTTCCCCTTCCCACCCATCTCCCCGTTGCCGAGAGCTTGTGGCTCCCCGCGCAGACCCATGGGAAAGCTGGATATGAAGGCTGATCGAAACTCTGTTCGGCCGCCCAAAATAACCATGGGTAACTTTCCCCCATGTGGGAAATATTCATCCTGGTGGTTTTCCAACCAATGGGAGCCATCCCATGTCAACTCGGCTTCATTCCCCAAGCTTGGCATGCGTGCGTTCGGTCCAGCTGACGCCGGTGACCTGACACTATGCTTCCATCAAACGCCGGTACCCAGAAGCTCCCCCCGAAACCCGCAACCTTGACGCGCGCGTGTGCGTTCTCCAAGGCATGCGTGTAGTCGTCCTGCCAAGCGAACATTTTGGAGAATCCCAAAAAGGGACCCGAAGAAAGTGACATTTGACTTTGAAAGGGGTCCAAATAAAGGCCCCGAAGTTGGACCAGCACCCAAATTCAGAAGTGCTCTAGAGTTGTGTGTGTGTGTGATTCGCTGGCTAGGAAAGGCTACAACGCGAGAAGAGTGACACAAAGGGCAAAGTGGATGAAGAGAAACATGCACAGAAAAGAGCGCAGGGCAAACCAAATCACACATACCGGGACGGGGGCGGGGGGGCTCAAGAAAAGCGCGCACACAAACACACACATCCATGATTGACGGCCATCCTAGCATCGAATTCGAGCAGGTTTCTGAGATACCCTTTCCGAGGTGGTCCTAAGGCAGTCTATGTCGGTAGGCGGGTAGAACATGTTGGCGCTTGGCCGGGGCTCAAACATTGAGCACTTGAAAAAAAGGCTGGAAAGGAACGGACAGATGTCCCTTTGGGGCGTAAAGAAACGTCACCCAATCGATGGTCCTCCCAACCGATGGTCTTCCCCTCCTCCGCGCACTCCTTCGCCTTGCTTGGCGAGCCCTTCTGCGGGGTACCCATGGCCGCGATGAGCTCGGTGATCGCCTGCAACGAGGTCGGCATAGGGTTTTCATAGATTGCTACAGTTTCCTGGTGTCCCTTTACAACCCCAAAAGGGTTCCAACTCCAACAAAAGACACCCACATCCCCCGTTTCGGCAAGGGAAAACCGCCAGACCATGGCCAGAAGCATCTCAAAAAACAAGGCAGCCTCTGCATGGTTTCCTTCTGGCTTCGTTGGAGCATAAAACGCCTGCGTTCAAGGTTGCCGCACCGGGCTCATCAGGTGCATTGAAACAGAATGACCAGAATCCCACAAATTGACGTCATGGCGTTCCCAATCTGGGCCAGTTCAGGCGGCAACTCATATTTTTGTAAAAGCGTTTCCTGAGAAACCCTTGACGTCAGGACAACTTGGCAAACTGCGACACGATCCAGAGACGACTCGTACCCGCAAAATTTGTTCTTGTCTGCAGCCTTGCAGCAAAGGCAACGCAACGCCGCACCCATTGGGCAACTGGATCTGCCAGCAAACTAAGTTGTTTTTGTGGCTTCGCCGTCTTGAGCTCATGCTCAATGAGATTCTTGGGAGGAGACCCGGCCGGGCAGGAGACGCCTCATCGGCGCCCAGCGCATTGGCTTGCAGCTGCCTAACCTCAGACAGCGGGGCTCGCCGATCGCCGATCGGGAGGGATGAAACCCCAAACTGAGAGAAGCCAGGTACCAAGGGTACCAAGGGTACCAACGGTACCAACGGTACCAACTGGTGCGAAGTCGATTTTGTCCATCGGCAGAAGATGTCGTTTTGCCCGTTTCCACTGGACGATTCCTGATAGTGCCTGCTGTGCTCAAGCAAACTCATCGAAGAACCCCTGTAGTTCCAATGACCAAAAAACAGTGACGGAATTTCACAATTCAGGAACTTCAAGTCATGAATTGGGTCCTTGCTGGGTCCACCCAACCACCAAAACGAGGGCAAGTTCAGTCAACAGTGGCTGCTTGAGGCAAAACTCGTCGTGAACACAGCCTGGCAGCCCATTTCCCTCCCAAATAACCTCATGTCGTCTGTGACTTTCCCTGCAAAGGCGCTGGGTCGAAACTTCTTCAAAAAATGCAATCATCAGAAGACCTGTCCTGACGTTGTCTCTTCTGCTCAATTGCACGAACGAAACAACCAATAAAAATGGAGATGAGGACCCCTTTCAGCACAGGTAGAACAAAGAAAGGCTCCAACATCATGGGCCGTGCCAAACCCTTGTCTCTCCCGGGCTGCTCCCACCCTTCAATTTACAACCTCTGCGCTGCCCAAGGCAACCCGTGCTCATAATATAGGGGTCAAAACAATTTCCAAATCATTTAACCCCCCCCCCATCATGACTAAATCTGGCCTTCAATTACCCCAAAACCCTCTTCTAATTCGCCTCGGCCCCAAAGGGGGCCCAAAATCCTGTCCGGCGGGCCTTCGGGGTTCGTCGGCGTCCAGCTCCATGGGTCCATTTTTGTCGAAAATGTGCTGACAATTGCTAAAAAAACACTTTGCTTTTTTGTCCGAAAAAGCATGACCTCCTGCTGGCCAGGCCTGACGTGTCTGAGACTAGGCTCAGGCCCAGCCCAACCAGCAACCCGCCTGCTGGCCAGGCCTGTCAGCCCCCTCAGGCCCAAGCTTGTCTGAAACAGGCCTAGCCCAACCAACAACCCGCCCAAGCCCAGCCCTGCCCCCGGCGCATCCCAGGGCATGCCAGCCACCAGCGTGCCAAGGTCAGGTTTGTCTAACGTGTCTGAGATTGGCCTCAGGCCAACGACCAGTCTCACGTGTCTGAGACAGGTCTCAAGCTATGCCAGCTACTAAGCCTGTCTGACGTGCCCCAGCCCCTCAGTCCGGCTGCCCAAGCAGCTGACCTCCTGCTCGCGTCTGGCCCCAAGTCATCCAGCAGTCTGAAACTGGTCTCAAAGTATGCCAGCCTCAGGCCCAGTCCCGCCTGCTGGCGTGTCTTACGTGTCTGCGACTGGCCTCAGGCCCACCATCCCAGCCAGCAACTCGCCACCCAGCCTCAGGCCCAAGTGTATATGAAATCCAGCAACCCGCCCAAGCACAGCTCAGCCCAGCCCGCCCAGCCCAAGTTCCAGGCGCAACCAGCAGCGTAGTCCGGCTGCCCGGCAGCCAGCAACCCACCCGTGGCTTCGCAGCCTCGTGGCTGAGACTAGCTTCAGGCCCAGCCCAACCAGCAACCCACCTCAGCCCAGCCTGCCCAGCCCAGGCCATCTCAGGGCATGCCAGCCACCCATGGCAAGGTCAGGTTTGTCTAACGTGTCTGAGACTGGCCTCAGGCCAACGACCAGTCGTCTCACGTGTCTAAGACTGGTCTCAAGCTATGCCAGCTACTAAGCCTGCTTGGGCAGCCAAGGCTGGCCAGGCCTTGACCTCCTGCTCGCGTCTGGCCCCAAGTCATCCAGCAGGCCCAGCCCCTTCGGCGCAGTCTAAAGTATGCCAGCCTAAGACTAGCCTCAGGCCCAGTCCCTCTGCTGGCGTGTCTTACATGTCTGCGACTGGCCTCAGGCCCAGCCCAGCCAGCAACTCGCCACCCAGCCTCAGGCCCAAGTGTGTATGAAACAGGCCTTGCCCATCCAGCAACCCGCCCAAGCACAGCTCAGCCCAGCCCGCCCAGCCCAAGTTCCAGGCGCAACCAGCAGCGTAGTCCGGCTGCCCGGCAGCCAGCAACCCACCCATGGCCAAGCACCCAAAGTTGGTCTTGGTTGTTCAGTGACACCAATTATTGTTCCCCTTTTTATGGAGGCCAAGCCCCACTAAAAATGCTCATCCCCAGAAAGAGGTCCTTTTTTTCCAAGGGCACTGAGCAGCTGAGATAGTCTTGGTTTTGGATTTCAAACCTTCCGAGCAGGACGGCTTCCGAACATCGAACTAGCACGGGCGAACTGGTGCGGTCACAAGCTTTCAGTAGGATTCGGACCTTCCCAACACTGGATTTCGGTGTTCCTGACGGGCCGAGGCGGGCAACGCGAAGCGTTTACAATTACTTAAGCTCCTACATGATTCCAACCGAACCCCGCACGCCCTCGCGCCTGCGCGCTGCGCCGCGGGGACGCCTTGGATTTCCGTGTGGCGTTGTTAACCAAGGGGTCAGATGGCTCTCTCTCTTTTGGAGTTGGACCCCTTTTTTGGTGGTTCTGAAGGAAAACCTAGCCATTTTTGGGGGTGTCCCCTAAAAACGACACACCCATATGGCAGGTGGACAGTTGATCAATTGATGGTTTTGTGAAAGGCGCTCGGGGTTGCCAAATTCGTGCGGTGTTTCTTTGCGTGCAGTCCCCTGTCAGACACAACAGCTTGCTGGCACGCTTCCCTGAGGTCCCGGCTGGGTCGGTCTGCTCCTGGCAGCGAGTGCGCTTCGCGTGTCCGTGCGCTTTGATGTTTAGTTCCCCAAAAAGGAGCGACCCTCTGACAACAGTTGTTCGCTCCTTTTGAGGAAATGGTTTCTCTCTCTCTCTCTCTTTGGGGGGAATCAGCGAGAGGTGGCCCGCAAGCAAGTAAATCGATCAAAAGTACGGCGTTCTTCTGGCCGTGTTCTCAGAATCGGCACATTGAGGAAAGCCACGTCGCCAAGCCACTGAGATCAGCAATATGCACAAAAATTGCTTTGAGCGGTACAGTCGGCGGGGCAGCGGTTTCCTCGCGATTTCCCTTCGACGGCACCGGGGTACGGACAAACATCCCTATCGAAGCCTCCGAGTTTGGCTGGGCAAGGCTTGGAAGCCTGAAAACGCCTGGAAACCATGAGTCACTTGACAGGTTCCTCAAGAGGTTGGACCCCCAAAAAACGGCCGGGCAATGGTCCAAGAAATTTGGGTCTGTCACTTGTTATTGTGTTGGACCCCCTAAAAATGGCGGTTGGGAACTTGTCTTGCCCATCTCTCCACCAGACTTCAACTGGCAAGCTGAGGTGTCTTCGGTGACCACTCCCTTTGTGCCACGGTCAACTTCCCTCGAATTTCACCAAAAAGCTCATGAGCAATTCGTTGCAGAGTGAAAGCCCTTCACCACATTTCCCCATACTTCCCCTGTAAACCCCAGGCCTCCCTTTACATTGGCCCCAAGAGCGACTCCCTCCCACCTTGGTGGGCACCGCATAGAGGGCATCCACGCCTGCCAAGTGCATCGTTGGTGAAGCGCAGCTACGCTTGGAATCATCCGGCCAGATCTCTGGATCTCACATGGCGTTGGGAAGGGCGATTCCCGTCAGATTGGCAGGCATTCCTTGGGCATAAGGCGAACTGGCCGGTGCTAGATTGCAGACCAAAGACTAGGCTCGAATTCAGGCAGCTGGGCAGAATTCAGGCACCCCCATCGACATTCTTCAGAAGTTTTGGGTGATGCAGTGATGCCCTGGGTCCCAACTTGTAGACACGTCTGCAGTGAGCGCAAGTGGCTGCAAGTAAAACTGAGCAGCCGGCATCGCTGCCCTTTCTAAGGACTCTTCTACCCCGTCAGAATGAAACCTGAATATGCTCACGAGGATGCACTTCACCCTGGGTATGATAGGATACAAAAGCCATCTAAGTGATGGAATCATGTCTGACATCTCGCCAATCCAAGTTTTGGAGCTTTCTTTGGGCCTTCTTATTCTCAGCCCCGGTGGGTTCCATTATTGATTCATTGATGCGTAAATCCATCGCAAGTCCGCACGCAATGGTCGAATCGAAGCAAGAGAAACCACGGAAGACAACCTCCGTCTCAGTGAGTTTCAAGCTTTTCCGACCCCCTTCGCCGGCCAAAAAACGAAAAAGTGCGGCCCAAGCGTCTTTTCACCGCCGTGGAGATCGCCTGGCGTCGAGTGCGCGAAGCCAAGGTGGCAGTGACGTCACGTCTTCGTGGAGTTGCATCATCCAAAGTGGGTCCCAAGGTAATTTTCTTTGATGGAGGTCGAACCCTAGGGATAGAACAAAGGATTGTATCGAAACGGAAGTACATTCACAGCGCAAGCACAAAGCTTTGGGGAAGGGCGGGCATGCTTCTGTCAGCTTGATACCCGTCACTTCTGGGACGATTCCAACTTCAGCTTGGCTATCTGAAGGGATTTGCAGATTTCACACACAAACACATGGGAGTTTTGTCAGGTCAACACTTGATGGGACAAGGACCAGATCACCAGCATCCTTGTTCAAAAGCGTCTGCGAAGGGGAGACAAAAGAAAGTAGCCCTCCTGAAAAGGAAGCCATTCCCTGATCTGATATGAGCCCGGTATCCAAGGAGTCTACCTAAAAGCATTCTAGCTTCGGTTTGGCTCATTTCGACCATCCCACCAGTCATTCCTCGAGCGAAACACATCTACAAAAGACAGAACCTCTCGTCAATGGATATAAATGCCCCAACCCAAAGGCAAGATGATTGCTTGACACTCGCATGCACACCGCCTGCCATCCAACCCTCCCCAACCCCCGCCCCACTCACCCCAACCCACCTCTCCCCACCTCTCCCCACCTCTCCCCACCTCTCCCCACCTCTCCCCACCTCTCCCCACCTCTTCCCCGCTACCCCCTACCCCCCACTCGCCCGTTGAGCTACGGCCATTCCCGCCTCGCCTCTCTGCAGAGCTCCAGCTTCCGCACCAGCACGCTCTGCAGCTCTTGGCTCTGCTCCAGCTCCTGACACCCGGAGCTAACATCGGGACCACCCTGCCTGCAGGCGTGCCCTCCCGGCAAAAGATGGGGCCCCTGGGTCATACCGTGGATGGTTGCGAAATCCAGTTCGCACCACCTAAGAAACCCTGGCATGAGGATTCCACCGGAAGTACCAACAAAAATGGTTGTCTATGGTTTCAAAGTGGTGTAGGAGTTCGATCCACAGCAGGCGTGTCCTCCTGGAAAAAGATGGGGGTCCCTGGCAAATGGAATCACACCCAAACCAAACCTCCAAAAACCACCACATGTTGATGTCATGTTAACACCCATCTAAAGCAAACATCCAAAAACCACCACATGTCGATGCCCTTCTTGCCATAGATGGTTTTCCCTGGTCCCCCTTTGGGCAAAGAAAAATGGAGCGCATAGGTGTCCTTTTGCTATAGACCGGCGTTTGCCTGATAAATCGAATTGCACCAATCTAAAACAGTGCCATCTATCTATGTGTTTCCCTGGTAAATGGAAGGAAAGCTATCTAAAAAAGTGGAAGCTATATGTTTCAAACCAAACTAAGCGATCAAAAGGACACCTATGCCTGTGGTGTTTGCCTTATCTCAAGAAAGGTTCACCGGTTTCAAAACGGATTTCATAAGCCACTACACGTCAAGCTTCGCGCCCATCTCATTCATTCCGATTTCCTTGCGGCCTGGGTTCCGAATGCACAGGCTGTGAGCGTTTAGATAGGGGACGAAGAGGTGTGTTCTCTCTTTCTCTGTCTACTGAAAAATTGTTGGCGTGGTCAACGCCAGACTGGCGATACAGCCACAGAGTGACAAGGGAATATACAGGGGTGAATGAGGCCACATGTTGACCGATAGAGCTCAACGAGGCTTCATGAGGTTCAGCAATGACGAGAAGCATCATAAGGTTTCATATGCATCAACTACACAAAGTAAGCCAGCTTAGGATCACCCAGATTTGCAAGGCGCGAAAGAAGGTCGCTGCGGAGCGAAAGGGATGGGCAAAGCATGGTCGCAAAAAAAGGGTTCTCTTGAAAAGAAAAAAAGAAACGGGTTCTTCATATTGAGGGCTAGGGCGAAGGCTAGTCAATCTGAGTCACCAGGCTCAGGTCAATGAGGCGCTTCACTCGCCAGTTCTCTGTGCTCAGCCCGTCTGCCGCGTAAACAAACACCCTGGCATACGACATCATGTGGCTGACTACGAACAAGATGTGTCTACTGCGTGATGCATGATGTGGATTGCTGATGCAGGCTCCAGAAAAAGATCCTAATAACAAAACACGGGAAAAAGGCTGTTGCAGCCTTTGGCTACATGCGGGCTTAATGGGCAAGTAATGTAGGGTGGTCGGCTCCCAGTTTTGCAGGGGCGGGTTGCTACTTGATGGTTGAAAGCTGCTATTTGTGGGAGGTGATTTGACTTTGACCCCGTATCTTAGGCCTGCACCCAAACAAAGTCTACCTCTAGGCAGAGTCATACCGTCGCGCTTGGCATGACTTGGCACGTCACATGTCACGGCTCGTAGGTTGGTGTAGTTCTTGTGGTGGCTTTTTTGTTGTTTGGGGGGGGGGGGGTATCGGGTATCGCAACCCGTTAAGAACACAAAAATAAGGACACCACTGGAAGAAAAGTCTGCGGTTACAAACACTGGCAGTTGCTGATGTTGGTGATGCTGAGGTAGGCCTGATGAGGATACGGAAAGCCACAGCGACGAAAGCCAGCAAACGCCGCAACAAGCCAAGCAGAAAAAGAACTGAACAAAACTGAACCGACATGGCCTTCCCTTGTAAAGGGACCCATCCCCGCCAACCCCCCCCCTCCCCCTTTCTGAGCAAAAAATGAACACGGCGCTCCTGTTTGCTCTCCTCCAAGTCTTCCTGCACCGCTGCAAGCCTCGTTTGACAAGTTTCGGGGCTGGGCCTTCTCAAAAGCTGAAGGTATCCTTTTGGCTCACGAAAATGGGCACGTCTTTCGAGTTGCCCCGTGCTTGGCGGACTTAAAAGGAAACCAAAAGGACCTCGTTGCAAAATGTCTGGGGGTCCAACCTTTACAAAGACACACGCAAATGGAAAAGGAGTGCCGAAAAAGGGTGCCCGCTTAATTCCATGTTGCGTTGTCCTTAAAAGGGAGGAATACACGGATGTCGTGCTTGAAGCAAAAAACACCAGACAATTCTCCTCTCAAACTCAAACTACGCTTTGGCTGGATGCAAACCAAGTTTTGCAGGCGGACTTCCATGTCCTCTTGTCGGTGCGCCAGTGGCTGTTCAAGCCAGGAAACAAAATACCGTTCAACCAGAACGCGGCCTGAAGATCAATTACAGCCACAAAGGGGCAACACTGGGACGCAAGCCCTGTGCATCTGCACATCACCACGTTGGCTCGCAAGACAAACACACCTTCAGCAGAACTCGGCGTCTGGCATGCCCCTACTGCGCCACAGCTGGGCCCGAACAAGCTGTCATCGCTCGGCTGGAAAGCACGAATGCCCACCAGATCCAAGCGCGAAATCGTTCCCCGCGCCCACAATGATAAAGCCCGGGAGGTGTTTATCCCTTGATAGGGGGGACGAGACCCATTTCAGCCAAAGTCCGTCCGGATGACGTTTTGGGAAGTCGCACCGATTAATGAGGTTCTGCTCCTCCCGCTGCCTCTGAGAGGTGCAGAAGCTGATAGGGATCAACCTATCGATTGTCCATGACATCGGGCAGTGAGCCGACCGAGTCCCGGCTTTAGGAGCTTGAAAAGACTACAGGCTATTCCTTTTAAGTGGGTCCAAGCAATTGACCCCGGCTCCCCAAGCCGCTCAAGAAGTTGCTCTTGTCTAAATAGTAGTCAGTAATACAAATCCTGAGAGCAGCACAATCAGCTTTGTTCGCCGAAACTTCAGGCTGTGGCTGAGCTGAGGCTGCCACTCTTTGGCCGTGAGATCGCGTGCGACGGTCAAGCTGTCGATCTCTTGCCTAGAAATATCCGGGAAGAAACTGCACACGAGAGCCTGGAAACGTTGATGACACATCATATTTGCCAGCTGGGACCAACTTCTCAGTTCGGGTCAATGCTCTGACGAGCTTTTTCCAAGCGCAGCAGAAGAAGAGGAAGTAAGAGAGGAGGAAGAAGAAGAACAAGAAAGATGAAAGCAGAGAAAACCAAAGGGAAACCGTGGAAGAAAATTGAAGAAAGGATACAAAAGGGACAATCCACCGACCTCTTTGCTAGACCCGGGCACGGTCAAGGCAAAGGCGTACAGCATGTGCATCACGGTTGGCTGGGGCAGTGCGAGGGGGGATGCAACGGAAACTGTTCGGCTGCAAGGCCTAAGGCAACTCTCCGGCTAACCTTGACTATGGTTCCCTTAACCTGTGCTGACCTGAAGTGACATTTCGGCCAACTAAATTAACGCCCAAGCCTAACTAACTGTTCGGGTTGACCTCACCAACGACCGACAACAGCAAGCGCTTCCACTAAACTAAGCAACTCTGCGGGTATGCTGAACGAATGTTTCGGCTGACCTTGACTATCTTTCGGCTAAACTCGATCATGCTTCTGGCCAGCCTTATTGTACGTAGTCATAGACTAACGTTTCTGGCAAACCAAACATTCTGGCTAGCCTGAAGGAATGTGTTGGCTAACTTTGTCTGTTTCGATTAGCCTTAGCCAGCTTGTCAAAAGAAAGAAAAAGAAAAACTACGGAAAGACTAACAGACGACCAAGACTACGGAACAAGCCTAGTCTTCCCATACAGGAGTGGAAGTACTGAAAAGCAAAGCCAAGGCGAGACGGGCCAAGGGAAAGGCTCTAAAGACTGGAAAACTAAGTCTACAAGACAGGAGTATTATCTAAATACTAATTACAGGAGACAAGACGGAAATAACTGACAGCCTAGAAGATGTGAAGACTTTGTAAAACAACGGGAAAACTACAAGACTATAGAAGGACTATGGGAAAGCTCATGAGGCGCGGTCTGGATGTTGCCCAGCCGAACCCCTGATACATGTTCAAAAAGGCTTGGTTTTGGAGCCCCCCTTCCAGAAGCAAACAAAAAAGAAAAGAACAAACCCTACGTAGTGAAGACGTGTTTATCCAAGAAAGCTCAAGAAAAAGAGGGAAAAAACAAGAACGACAAACACACCCATGTCTTTGAAAGGCTTTTACCTTTCGCCCCTAACCCCGAATCCTTCAGGCTCTACGAAAAGTCGCCCCCGAATCCGCCTCTTGTTCAGCTCGCGCTCCCGAAGCTTCAAGTTGGCTTCCCGCAGACCTTGAGTTGTGTGAGCCGATGGATTTGGGCCTGGGGGCCTGGGGCCTTCGAAGGGAGCTACTTTGGGCTCCCACCCCCTCCCCTCCCTCAGTCACGTGCAACGCATCGGTTCTCTTCACGGAGAAAAAACGGCCTGTTGGCCAGTGGGACCACGAAGAACTCCTGCTGATTTGAGGCGCAGCTCAAGAAATACGCCCACATTGGGCTTCGTACTCCCTCACCGAATGGGCGAAACTGCCCAAAGCCACCGCCAGACTTGGGCTCCTTTGCTAAGGGCTTATTCTCAAGATATGGGTGAGTCTCTAAACCTTTTTGGTGAGTTTTAAGGGACAACCAAGCGGAAGACAACCAATTGGGGTCCCCTTTAAAAAAAAAAGGACACACCCGTATGTCCGCCCCGCTCAAATAAGCCCTCATAGGCCGTAACAGCCTTACCGGCGCACGAACTCTTCTTCCTGGGGGGGGAAGGAGCTGATTTGAAACCTGTGAGCTTGCCGTTCAGCGGCCTGCGGGAGAACTCCATCAATCCAACCGGTCTTTTTCGCATGGACTGCGTGTCCCCTAGATGGTGCAAAAGTTGCCATGCCCGTGAAACAAGGGCTAAAACAACTAGGTGTCGCACCTAGCTGTGGCGAAGAGCAAGTCCAAACACCCTTTGGCCTGTTGATTAAGTCTTCTCAGCTGGAATGGTGTCCCACAATTCAAAAAACGTTGTTAAACGTCCTGTTAGCGTGGTCGAGATGATGAGTAGGAGTTTAAGCTCAGGAGTGTTTGCTGCCCCCAAGGCTCCAGCGTGGTGACCGATGATGATGATGATGATGATGATGATGATGATGATGATGATGATGATGATGATGCTGCTGCTGCTGCTGATGATGATGATGATGATGATGGTGATGCTGATGCTGCTGCGGCTGCTGCTGCTGCTGCTCCTGCTGCCAGTAAGGCTGATGCTGATGATCATCAGCATGCGTATGATGAGGATGCTGCTGGTGCTGCAGATGCTGAAAGCTTATGCAACGTGGATAATGCAAATGATGATGTTGAGGCCCCTGGATGATGCTATTGATGCTGATGATGCTGATGATGCTGTTGAGACTAGTGATGACAATGCTGGTAATGCTGATGATGTTGATGAGACTGAAACCCACAGGTCCGAAAACAGCAGGAACTAGCCAAGGCCTCCCTCTCGGGCCCCCGGCGCACGTGCTCCTCTCGCAGTGCCAGCAGTGCCGCCCGCGCCCCATCGTGCTGGCTGGCCTCGGTGGAGGAAAATGAGAAATGAAACCAACTGCAGATCAAAAGCTGGAAACTAGAATTAAAGAGACGAAGTTGACTGGTACCTTTGAAACTGTGCTGTTGCCATGCATTGCATTACATCAAATTACATTATAGTACATCACGTTACATTACATTACATTACATTACATTACATTACATTACATTACATTACATTACATTACATTACATTACATTACATTACATTACATTACATTATAAAACATTACGTCACACTACGTCACACTAAATCACATTACAGTACATTACTGACCAAGTGAGAAACAAAAAAAAGTGATGTGCCCCAGCCTCAAATCACAAACTGGATGGACAAGTTCGGAGCTTGGACTCAAAAGCTTGGTTTGTCCTGTGCGAAGCATTGGAAACCGAAGGACATGCTGCGGACCTGACAATTCAGCAGGCCCCAAACCTGCCAAACCAATGCCTGCAAAGACCCTTCCTCCCACTAACTTGTGGGAAGGTACCGGAAGATGATTCTCTTGAAGGGATAGGGGGTTACCCATATGCAGACTTTGCAAATCCTGTTGAAAGGCACAGGGCCTCGGAGCCCTTCGCACAGGGTTGCAAGAAAGCGCTCCCGCGTAGGAGAGAAGAGCAGTGTACCGAGTGATTGACCCGAAAGGAGCCCCAACGATGTCCACACTAGAGGGTTAGCCAATCCTCCATGTTCCCTACATGACTCAAAAGGCGTCCAGAAACAGCACTCCACGTCTCGCCTCACGACGACTCTGCGTCCGTCTTCATTGCCACTCCCATGGGCGCCCTGCTGGCTTCTCAGCCTCAAAAGCTGAGCATTTTCTGCAAGCGATACAAACGGTCTACTGCTTGAGCACCAAATGGGTGTGGATGGGTTTGGGTCAATAAAATCAGTGCCCAAATGGAACCCTGGTAACTGTTCTTAATAATTCTTAGAAAGCATCGCGGCACCTTCCATGCCGACAGCTTGACTAACCAAAGAGCAGGTTAAAGAACTTGCTCAGAGAACTTGCTTTTCAATCTTGCTCGGAGAAATTTGCTGAGAACAACCTGCTCGGAAAACTTGCTGAGCAAAACTTGCTGAGCAAAACTTGCTCACAGAAACTTGCTCAAAGAACTCGTCTGGAGAAGTTGCTCAGACAATCTTGCTCAGCAAGACTTGCTCAGAAACACTTGTTCAGCAAACCTTTCTCAGAGAACTTGTTTAGAGAGCTTTTTCAGCAACACTTGCTCAGAGAACTGGCTCAGCGAGACTTGCTTGAAGAAACTTGCTCAAAGAACTTGCTCAAGGAATTGGTTTGGGAAACTTGCTCAAAGAACTTGTTCAGCGAAACGATTTTCTACCTAAACTCAGCTTTCTAAGTGGGCGGGGTGCGACCGTCGTCACTGCTCGGACTTGCAACCCTTGCGTGGTCGAGTCTTGCTTACTAGTTTTGAGCAGCCCGCACAACCCTCTGCATGGATCAGCGAGATGGATGCGAAAAAACTGCGGACTTTTGGTACTTGTCGATGCTGGCGGGTGAGCCTTGGGAAGTTGTCTCGCGGTTCGCGCGCGCGTGCTCTATCAGCGGGCTCCAGCTTCGACTCCCCACTTGTCCGCGGGCAGGCCTTGCAAGCTGAAGGACGAAAGTAGGCGCGAAGTACGTTCCCGCAGCTCCAGCTCCAAAACCACAACTGCTGAGTGCAAAAGGAGCGCAGCGCATTGAGCAAGCCGCGCAGAAACTGGCAGAAAGAACTTGCGCAGAGCAACTTGCACAGAGCGACTTGCGCAGGGCAACTTGCACAGAGCAACTTGCACGGAGCAACCTCGTCAGAGACACTTGAACAGAGTACACATTGTGAGCGGATCGTAGGGCATGTTCTGCGGGGCGTGTGCATGCATGAAACATCCTGGTGGGGGGGCGGGGGGAGGGGTGCTAAATGATTCCCCCAACACATTGGGAACAATGCTTTCGGGCCAATCGTCCTCTAGTTTTGAGAGGACTCTTTCTAAGGTTGGTTTAAAGGGAAACCAAAAGAAAACCGATCATTGTATGGGTCCAAATAGCCAAACACAAATATAGTGTTTCATCATTCGTGAAAAGAAAGACTGTGATGCCCGAGGTATTTCCCTGAGCCACGCGGGAAGTCGCAAGATGGACCGTGGCCGAGGTTTTTGGTAAGACCAAAACAGGAATTCAGAGATTCCCCGCAAACCTCACTGAATCCCCCGCTTTGATCTTGGACAGTCCAAGGGCTTGCATCAGCCATCTCCCACAGCTGACTAGGTGAAGCCTGAAAACATGGGACAGTGGACGGTAGTGTCGTCTTCGAAACCGAAAGTCAGCAACACAACTTGTTTCATCAAGCTCAGCACATTGTTGACAACACGAAGCAAAGTGATAGCTCCACCACATAATTTGTGAGGTCTCTGAACCAGGAAACAGCCGTTGTTGTGAAGCTGAAGCCGCGACGGTCTCGCTGTCTCTGCTTGCTGCCAAAGGCAGCCGCGTCCCCACCCCGGTTGTGGGAACGGGGGCGTCGCAGTTCTTTTGGAGGCCCCTTTCGCCCATTAAGGGGCGCGGGGGCACCCGTGCGCGGGGCACAACCTCCCCGGCGCGTGGTGCACCCGTTGGTGCACCGAGGTCCGCTGACACCTCCGCCAGGACCAATTCACCTTCACTTCGACCATCGAGGAGTGGTCGAAATGCATTGCTAGAGCTCCAGCATCTTGGCCTGGCTGAGGTTCACGCTCGGCATCTAGATCTAAATGGTGTCCGATGCCAGCTCCACCATCTCATAGTCGCCAAAATGGGCCCCGGTGCCATTTGGGCTCATCTTCCTGACATATAACACTTTATAACACCCCAAGACTGGGAGACGCGAGATTTTCCTGAACCACCATTTCTGCACACCCACCAACTTCCCCCGGCCGGCCACTCGCCGAAGCTGAGGCACCAAGCCGCGAGCTGCGGCGGGCTTAAGCCCGGGGAGCCTGGCTCCACACCGAGGCTGGGTGGTGGGAATGCGCCGAGTTTGGGGATGGGGATCCCTTTAAAGGAAACCCTCGGGGATGGTTTATGGAGGTCAGTTCAACTCATTGCCCGCTGAGAACCAGCGGTGTCTTTTTTGGGGGGGATCCCCTCAAAACAGACATAGCCGGTGAGATCCCAGCATTTGCAGAAGCAGGATTTCACCCAAACTCATACAGGTCCAGACATTTCCCACCATGACATGTGCTCGCTTTGAAGAAATGGGCCTGTTCCTAGAACTTGGCTTCGAGCCCGCTGGTTCGGAGGCTTTCAGGTTCCCACTTTCCCAGAAGGGCTTCAAACCCCCGCCAATCCAAGGCAACCGACAGTGACCTGATATGAACTCTGAGGTGGTCTTAGCCCCTACCTCTGCCTTCATTGCCTTGGCTCTAAGGTCTACACAAACCGGACGCCATGACTCATTCACTGGTCCTCCGACTGGCAATTGCACAGTGACAGGGATGCTCCTGGGCCCCCTGCCCCAAATCCCACAGCCAGCGCAGGCAGAGCGCAGTGTGTTTGTGTGTTGTTTGTCTGGTTGTCGCGTCTACCATTGGGCCGTAGAACGTGTCAAGCAGCAACAGCGGCAGCGGCAGCAGCGGCGGCAGCAGCATTTGTTGCACTGGCTGTTCTCAATTCAGCCACGGATTAGCTGAGAAAAACATCCTCAGCAAGGCGTTGCCATCGAACAGTAACCCTGAAATGTGTCAGATGCCGCAAATGGTGGGCTCACCTGGAGCCAATCCGAGTGCGAGCCTCTCGAGGCGGGCGGCGGCGTCACCATGGTCGGATCCTCCTGAAAGGTCAAATTCGAAAGTTGTTCAAGACTTGGGAAATCCGGGAAAACTGAGTCACAATCAAAACCTGGTATTAAAATGGTCCACCCAAACCAATGTAAAGAATCAAAAAGGTGGCTGCACCCAGGTATGGTTGGGATTATCTCTTACTACCCTTAATCTACCCTATTTTCTTTTGTGGCTCACCTGGTAATCCTTGATTTCTTTACCAGTAATCCTGAGGTGAGTGTACCTTCATTTTCCCCGCATGGGGTCTGTTTTTTGGAGTTGGTACCCTTCTTGGTGGTTTTTAAAGGGAACCAACCTTAAACAAGACATCCCAATTGGTCTTTTTGCACCGCCCTAAGTCATCCCCCAAACAGCGGCCCCGCCTTCATCATCGATAGAAACGTTCGGTCAAGCCTTCCCTTACGCCTTAGAACAAAACGAACCTTTTGAGCACCATGTTGCCGAAACGGGAAAAAAACAAACCAGAACCTTCATTCTCCACTGCAAGGTGGAACTCCCAAGCATGGGAATCACACCCGATGAGCCGTGCCTCAAGCGGGCTCGAGGTGGGGCGTGTAGCAAACCACTCCGCGTGCTTTGGGCAGCCCTTAGAGATCATTGGCTCACATGGCGATCCGCCAGGCAGGGGTTGGTCATCCCTTATGCAATCGATGATGATCGATCTGCACAAAGTGAGGCGATCACTGAAACCGGAATGTCGCCAGGGTCGGAATTTCGCACCATCTCCCAACAGATTCTAGACTCCTTTGATCCCAATTCCACGTCCATGTTTCCAAAACAAAAAAAGAGCGGGCGGTTCCAGCAGCTCGCGGGCGTTTGCAGGCTCGTGACCAAACACACAAGCAAATCCAGCAATTCACTTTCTGCAAAGGCGGGTCCCTTCTTTTTCAAGTTGCTTTTAAGCTGCTCTCGGATCCTGGGGGGGTTTCCCTCTGGATCTTTGCTCAACGAATGCACGCCACGCACACCCTACAACCATAAAAATGTCTGATAAAAAATACCCAACAATGCAACAACACCCTACAATCCTACACCTACACCCAACAATGCCACAAAATGTCTGATAAAAGGTCGTTGCTCCTCGCTCGTGTCACCCCCCGTCTTCGCAGGACCATTTGTCGATGCCCGGCCCTGCTGTCCTCTCCAGCCTCCCAAGGCTTGGGCGCAATCGGGGAGAGTTCCAAAAAAGTGCCTGACTCAACATATGAGTCTGGCTTTCTTGGGAGACCCCCCAAAATGACTATGGTCCTTTTGGTTTTAAAAAAAAAAAAAGTACCCAAAAAGACAGACATGCCCATATGAGCTTGCGAGCTTCCTTGTGATGTCCAACTTGGAAAAGGACTTCTTGCCAGGTTTCGCTTGCCGGATGGACGCCCAGCGAAGAGAAGTCGAACCCCCGAGTGAAGTGACACCTCTTGGGGTAAACTGGGGAGTGGCACTTCAAAAACCAGCCGAGCAATTTGGGCCAGATTCTCGGCCCAAAAGGCGAGCGGCTTTCGGCGCTCACGTGCTTTCGGCGCTCACGTGGTTCTCTGTTGGCACCGGGCTTGCAACCATGATATCAGTTCCTGGAGAAAATGAAGCCAGGGCCCAACAAATCCTGGTGTGTGTTATATAGCAAAACTATGCTTTGCTATCCCGCCCAAAAAATGGGACAGAACTAAAAACAACTAAAAACACCAAGGACAGTGGTCTGGGCCATATGTGCCCATAGAGTTCACGTTCCCAAAGAGGCACATTAAAGACCGTGTCACGCCCCAGTTCCTCTCAAGGTCGAGCACTGAAATTGGCCTCACCGGCGACCGGATCCAAATGCTCAAAATTACCCATGGCAGTGTAGTGCATTCCAACATCTGGGGCTGTCGCAAGCTCGCGCATTCCATTGCCTATGGCTAGCCGCGAAAGATCACTTACCCCAACCTTCGGCCACTCCGCCTCGACCAGATCACTCAGCTGCACAAAGCCCTTTGGAACGATGGGCAGCCAGCCTCGCGCGGGAAGAACCGCATGTGGCGGTACGGTCAAACGTAGCTGTACATACCGGATTGGGTTGTTGGTCATTGCCAGGAAGTTGACGGTGCAATTCTGACATGGCGTTTCATGGAGTGGCTTGGTGATACCTCTGATTGCCAGATACCTGATTTGTTGGGTGGGAGGTTGTGGGCTGAACATCCGACCATGGCTCATGCGAAGTGTCTGGGAAACAGGAAAAGCCCAAGAGGTCCTGAGCTGCACGGAATTAACCCTCACCAACCCTCTTGTCCACCCTGCCACATCAGGAGCGCACAAATGCAGCAGTGGCAAGAAAAGGCGCCGATAGAGAAAAGCCTTTGCTGACATGAGAGGGAGAGAACGCTTGTTCTGCTCACTCGCGATGTTACCATTGCACCATGGCTTGCTGGACAATGCGTCGGTACGTGCCCACTATTCAGCGAGCAAAGAGCAACATTGATTTGGCTACTTGAAGCAAGACACGACACCTCCGATCTAAGGATTCCTGTTTGGCATGCCATCTCGATGAGCGACAGCCACCAACTCGCAAAGTCCACCTTGCTACCCCCAATCTTCCGTAGGTCTTTGAATCTTTCAGGGGATGCTTCAGTCCTTTCCTGCTCGACCCTGGCCTCTAAGGGAAAACAACAAGAAGGTCCTTCACTAGTCAAGGTGGTTCTTCACGACCTCTCCCCAACCCTCCCCCCCCCCCACCCCATCCCGCCGCCACGCTCTCCCGGCCGCGCCTTCCACGGGATGCTCCGCCCAGGAGGCCTGCGTCACCTGCCAGCCCCGCGGCAGCAGGTCGATGCGGTACCCCATGCTGCTGGGCGCCGTCCGCCAGGCGGTGGAGCTCGTGGTGACCTTGTTTTAGAAGAAGCGGACCCGTAGACATGGATGTACAATTTAATATGATATAATATAATATAATACAATGTGATATAATACAATGTGATATAATATGATATAATAAAATATAATATAATATAATATAATATAATATAATATAATATAATATAATGTAATGTAATAATGTAATATAATATAATGTAATATAATATAATATAATATAACATAACATAATATAATAAAATATAACATATATATAGAGAGAGAGAGAGAGAGATGTACACGCGGGGTGAGCCAAACCCAACCTTATTCTCGTGTTTTTTATGCACAAAACTTCCCGAGCCAGCTTAATTTGCCTGAGCACAAGCTTCGCAGGGTAGTTCCTCTTGTCCCTGGTTCTTTCCTCATTCAATCCACATGTGCATATGCTGCATATGTAGAATATATATATATACATATATACATATATATATATATATATGTATATAAATATACACTGTACACATACATAGGCATATGCATGTGTGTGTGTATGACACATTCATCCGTCCATCCATCCATCCATCCATCCATCCATCCATCCATCCATCCATCCATCCATCCATCCATCCATCCATCCATCCATCCATCCATCCATCCATCCATCCATCCATCCATCCATCCATCCATCCATCCATCCATCCATCCATCCATCCATCCATCCATCCATCCATCCATCCATCCATCCATCCATCCATCCATCCATCCATCCATCCATCCATCCATCCATCCATCCATCCATCCATCCATCCATCCATCCATCCATCCATCCATCCATCCATCCCATCCATCCATCCATCCATCCATCCATCCATCCATCCATCCATCCATCCATCCATCCATCCATCCATCCATCCATCCATCCATCCATCCATCCATCCATCCATGCATGCATCCATCTCTCTCCCTCCCTCCCTCCATCCATCCATCCATCTATCCATCCCTCCGTCCATCATCCATCCATCCATCCCTCCCTCCCTTCCTCCCTCCATCCATCCATCCATCCCTCCCTCCCTCCCTCCATCCATCCCTCCATCCATCCATCCATCCATCCATCCATCCATGCATCCATCCATCCATCCATCCATCCATCCATCCATCATGCATCGAGTTGGACCCTCAACTTTGAGATTGCCGCACCACGTCAAGCAGAATGTAAACACCCTCTGCATGGATGCAAACAAGACTGACCAGCATTTGCGTCAGGACGAAAAAGCATGTCAACTGCCCCAGGGGAACGATTGTACCCAGTCAGCCCCCTCAAACGGATCAAATCCCACTGGAACCGCGCGTTGGCGCTCTGACTCGTGAACCGCCCCACGTCCGCTTGGCCCAGGATCAGTCGTCAACTCACTGGGCGTCCCCGCCCACTGCCGCGCTTGGCTGGGCGAGGCCTTTCGGCGCTCGGAACCAGGCGACTGGCTCAGGTCCTTTTGGTATCCTCGCTTAGTTTCGCGGTCTTCAGACAAGAGGCCCAGACCAAACAAGACCAGGCCTGCCTCGGTCCGTGGTCTGGTGCGTCGCGGGCGAACATTAACTGCCAAAAAAGATTTGCTGTCATTCACCAACCTTCTCACAGCAGAGCCCGGCGGGGGACCTTCAGTCTCCCTAACTCAAGTGCCTTCCAGTCTTATCAGTCTACCATGGAAAGAAAGAAACAGAAACCCTTTGCAAGGCAGAGTTCTGCATTGCAAGTCAATGGTTGGCCGCGGCCTGCTCGGGTTGTTCGAACGGTTTGTTTGGAAGTAAAGCTGTGTTGCGCCTGTCTTCTTGGTTATGCACCTTCCACTTCCGGCGTTGGGTAGCGGGGTCCGGACGCAGCAGCTTTGGCAGGGTTCTCGCTCAGGGGTAAGCTCCGAGTTCGGCTCGCGGCGTCTCTGTGCGGTTTTGACTGAGGTCTCTGCGAGGTTGAAGCAGGTGCGCGGCTGTCCGCAGGACGCTCATCCAACGAAACCTTCAACGTCCTGCTCCCTGCGCGACCGGCAGCCCGGGCTCTGCGCTGGCGCGGGCTTTTTGGCATTTTGTGAAAGGATTGACGCCACGGTAGCGTGGTGGGCGCGCCTTCACTGAAATACACTGTACCGTCCCCACAAGTTTCTGAAGATGATCCGGTCAACGTCCACGCCAGTTCCCTCTTTCCCTGGGCAAAATGGAGCCCATGACCATTTGATACATGGGTTCCCAGCCAATCTAAACCTGTGGAACCCATCGATGTCTACCCAAACTCTCCACTCTAAAGGCCGCCTATGGAGTCCATTTTCAGTTTTGCACGTGCGGTCGTAGGCTTTTCAAGGCAATCCTTAAAAAATAGAGTCGATGAAAAACGTTGCAACCAACAAGTGCGGAAAAATTACCTGTCGCAACATGGAGAAGTTTGTTCCTGCACATGACAGGGCGGGGGGTGGGGCATGGAAGGACAAAACCACGTTTTGGACATGGGGATCCTCTAAGGCAACGAGGAGAATAGCGTGTGGGTGTAATATGTACCATTGACAAAATGGCAGTTTCCCATGTGCAACCATTTCATTGTTTTGGCACCCACGATTGAACACCCTGCCAATCGTGAAAGTGTCTCAAAATAATACCTGGCTTGAGGGGATGGTTGGAAAACTGTTTGCCCCCTCCCCCCCCACCCCGAACGGTATAGGATACCTCTTGGTATGCCAAAGGTGTCCCTGGTTATGGCCAAACTGCGCGATACATAGGGCCCCGGCTTTAATAGTTCTGTTTTCATGGGACACCAAAAAGAAAGGATTCGATCACCACTGCTTTGTCGGCTCCATCTTGACACTGTCTAGGCACAGCGCGATTGTACTTCCTCAATCTCATTGGGTTGCAAATCCCCAAGGAGCGCTGCAAATCATGCTGAAAGGGATCCTCGCAACTGATTTAACCTGATTGGGGGGCCCTAAATTGGGTCGAAAAACTACTTGAATAGTTGCTACAAACCCTGGAACTCTTTGGCAGAAGTCGCTGAATCGGGTCTCTTCCCAACTGTCGGTATGTTAGGAAACTGCACAGGCTTGTTGCAGCCGCTGAATACCGGGGCATGACCAACCGCACAACCAAAAGCAAAACTGCACAGTCTTTCCAAAAAAGAAGAAAGGAACAAAACCAAAATCAAAAAGCGAGTGCGTGAGGAAACACCAAAACAAAACACACAAAAAAAAAAAAGAAAGAGAAAACACCATCAAAAAAAGATTGAGTCAAAGGCCCACTCAGGCACCCGGAGGTCACCTGGGCGACCCGGCCACCTCCCGCTTGGGCTCCGCCGCCGCCCGCTGGTCGAAGAAGCTGCTGGGGGCGCTGAGCCTTCGGGTCCTCAGAGTCGAATCTACCAGAAAGAAAGAAGCCGAGCTTTCCAGCCCTGCAAAGGTTGGACTGCTGGAGCCCTCAAAAACGGCGGTTTTCCTTTCAGAGGTGTAAAAAAGACTCTTCAGACGTCTTTGTACTCCTCGCCTCACAAAAAAAAGCCGAGAAAGACATGAGCAGTTGATAAACATTGAATACGATCCAGGGAAAAGTCGAGCCTCCATGATTTGTGCTCTCGCCAGAGGCAAAGGAGACAACGCCTCACCCATGGGGCAACTGGATCTGCCTGCACTAGTTGTTTTTGTGGCTTTTATTTGGCCGACACTTTTCGGAAGCCAAAAGCCATTTCTGGCGAAATCTGTAGACTCTTCTGGACACAAGGACTTCGAGGTTCGACCCCCATCCCAGCCGTCTGGGGCACCTGAATGTGATGCGCCAAGAACTGCACCACAAAGGGAAGAAATACAAAAGGTCCCAAAAAATAACCTGTCGCCAAACGAAAAGGAAACTCCTTAAAGACCCCTAGCCCGATCGGCAGGGCCATAGTCGTTCAAGACATAAACTAACAGTTCAGTTCAAACGGGGTTTCATAGATGGCTTCCTATGTTCACCTAGACTTACGGAAGCTTGAAAGTACGTTTGACTCAAGAGTCCTGGGCCACCCCTTGAACATCGAGGTCCGGCCTCCTCTCCACTGGTCGCGGGGAAGCAGCCGCGGCGCCGGTCTCAGAATGGCGCGGGTCTGGGCAAGAAGTGGGAGACTTGCGACAAACACGTCGCCCGGGTGGACATTCTGTCCAGCTCCTTAAAGGAGACATCCCAAAAAACCCACCTGAAAAAAATCCCCGCTGGCAACGGTGAATCCTTGGCCAGGCCCCAGGCTCGCACACGACTCTCCATGCCTGGAAGCAAGGGAGGGTTGATTCAATTGATCGTCTGAATGGTGGGATACCTGGGTATAATGAGGCTTCAAAGCTGTTTCTTTGAAGTCTCAAAAAAGGGTCCACAACCATCGGTCTCCCGAGAGGTGAAGCGAGCAACAGCCCTGGCTGCCTGAACGGATGGTTCAACAGTAATTCCGCAGGCGCTTGTGCAAGAAGAAGCTGCAATTGCATCCTTTCCGCACCCCCTAAGGCCTGGTGGAAACCCTGCATCAGTACATTGCTTGATGGACAATCGTACACTCTGGGTGATTGAAGGCCTCCAATCCTAATACAATAATCAACTACAGTTCAACACAAGTGACTATGGCTAACTGGCTCTGCACGCCTCTTCAACACTGCATTGGAGCACGAGTACACGGAATGTGTTTTCCTTGCTACGCAAAAAGATGCCGTGTGCACGCTGGGTTTCCCCAGCACACACCAGCATGTATGAAGCAGAAGAAAACACCTGCTGAAGATGTTGCACAGAAGTATGACAGCAAATGATATGGGAGCGACCCAAAAGTGAATGCCAACAACACTGTTTCTTTCCAATCAAACAAAAAGTCCCAAATGCAAATGACACCTCGAAAAGCCAAAGGTTGAGGTGTCAAGGGGTTAACTCTTTGCAGCCACAATGAACAGAACCAAAGCTGTCAAAACTACGCAACATACCCTCCTTCAGGCAATCATGGAAGCTGTCAGAACCCTTTTGGAACACTTAGTTCCGGTTACGAAAGTTTTCTGGGAGTTTCATGTTGGTCTGAGGGAGCGTACCTAGCAAAAACGCAGGGCTCCATGGTTGCATCCCAGCCTCGAAGTCTTCGAGCGCAAATGGACCGAATCGGATGGAGAACTCGTCTCGAGCCAATCAGACCGCGCCCCGGCGCTGCGATGAAACGCCCATCCCTTTTGTTTTTTTCGGGGTATCTTCTGTTGTTCAAATGCAATTGAAGGCTACGACCTGAGAAGGGGACAATCATGAACCCCCCCCCCCCGGCCGCAGTGCAGCCCGCCGAGGCGAAGGAAAGTCATTCCAAAGGAGCTGCCGAACTCCATGCAAACAAGCGCATTGGGGCCCATGGAAGACACGCACGAGCTGCACCGGCTTACCGCTCACTGGTAAAAGCCGTGGGTTTCACACTTGGTCAAAGTTCAGCCCTGGCCAAACACTGTTTTTAGTATTTGCTATCATCATCTTCATCATCATCATCACAATCATCGCCATCACCACCACCACCATCTCAACGTCACCGTCACCGTCACCGTCACCGTCATCATCATCATCATCATCATCATCATCATCATCATCATCATCATCATCATCATCATCATCAAAGGCTTCATAAAGGCTTCATTCATACTCTCCATCATCATCATCATCGTCATCATCAAAGGCTTTATAAAGGCTTCATTCATACTCTCCATCATCATCATCATCATCATCAAAGGCTTTATAAAGGCTTCATTCATACTCTCCATCATCATCATCATCATCATCATCATCATCATCATCATCACCATCAAAGGGTTCATACTTTCCACACTGGTCCTTGCACGGACGGTGGCAGTTTTGCGAAGTGTTGGATGAGAACCCTATTCGCCAATTTTTTTGCGCCGGGCAGCGGTCCGTGTCGAGCACGCGTCTGCACCTAGAACAATGTGGAAAAGCAGGAGGTAATCCACAAAAGGTAGGGTGTGAGACGAGGCATCATCACTCTTCCAAAGGAAACCAGCAAAAAGGAGGGGGAACACGAACCAACACAAGAAACCCAAACACCGACAACCAACCCCCAAAGAAAAACAGAAAAGGAAGAGGATTTCAGCCAAAGGGTGAGAGGCGCCACTCTCACAATAAGCAAAAATCATCCATAGGACGGGGGCCCAAGCAGCAAGCCCATTGCAGAGGCAGTCGGCCAAATCAAGGTAAGGCAAATCGGAATGTCGTCCTTGTACCATTGCAGACCAAAATTTGCAAGCATCGATCACCGAAGCAACCGGCAGCAAGTAAGTACACACCACGGAGAAAGTGGCAACTCCTGTCCGAAGTCGGATATGACGTCGAAGAATCCGAGGACGGTCTCCAATCCATCTCCCAGTTTCTCTTCATTGTCGGTGGAGAAAACACGGCACGCCTGCTCTTGACCGAGGAGCCAACGCATCCACGAAGCGTATACAGGGTTTCCGTTGGAATTTGGTTTTTCTCTCTTTCGTCCCGTCGAAATGAGTGACAATGTACGACAGCTTGTCGACCCACAGTTGCTTTCCCAAAGCATCCATGTCCCCGTCGAATTTGCCCTCAAGCTTGTTCATGTCACCGAGCACCAGGCTGCATTCAGCAAAGAATATTTTCATGATGTTGGGGCGGTCAGCTCCCTTACGGCAGCCTCCGGCAACAACGCAGCGGCCATCCAGTCCCTGGACGACCGAGTCACCGCCGAGCTGGCCTCAAAGCTGGACAGCAGCGCGCTGGCGCCGGCAATTGCGCCTCTAGCCACGGCGGTGGCCACCACAGACGGACAGGTGGCTGCGCACGGAAGCAGCATCGCAGCGCTGCAGAGCTCGCTGACCATGGGTCTCTCCAACAAGGCAGACCAGTCGGCCTTCGACGTGCTGGAGGGCGTGGTGGCCACGAAGAGCACCCTGGACGGCGTGGATCTGAAGCTGTCCAACTACAGCACCACGGCGGCCATGAACGGCTCCATCGCCTTGGCCAACAACGCCACGTGGCCACGGTGGCGGCCAACTACGGCCTCAGACGGTGGTGGACCAGCACTCCCTAGACATACTGGCGAGGATCACGCCGCTGGAGGTCGACACCAAGGTGGCCAACGCTCTCCTGGGCGTCGTCACCGCCGCAGCGCAAGTCGACGCCTCCATCTCGGGGCTGCAGGCCTCCAAGGCGGACGCCAGTGCACTGACTGCTTACGCCCTGCTGTCTGTCTGCCGTCGACACTTCCTCAGAGGTGGACTCTAAGATAGTGGCAGCCCTCTTGGGCGCAGTCACCACGGCAGCCCTGGACGCTGCCCTCCTTGGCAAGGCGGACGCCAGCGCGCTGGCCGCCCTGCTCTCCACGGTGCACGGGTTGGACACGCCGCTGGAGGTAGACACCAAGATAGCAAATGCCCTGCTGGGTCTCGCCACCGAGGCCTTCGTCGCAGCGCAGCTTGCTAGCCGCGACGCCAGCATCACGGCGCTCCAGGGGGCCAAGGCCGACGCGACGCAGCTGGCCTCGTACGCCACGAACGCCGCGCTCTCAGCCAGCAAGACCACGCTCCAGAGCGCCCTCGACGCAATCCTCGCGGAGCTCGCCGCCCTGCAGCTTGACCTGCTGAAGGGCCGCGAGTACAACCGCAACAAGGCCATGGAGGGTTTCGACGAAGTCAACGACCCCCGCATCGCCCGTGCGGTGCACCAGGGCGGCTACGCGGACGTGCTGCTGCGCCCCACCATGGTGGGCATCCTGCGCTGCGGGAAGATGCTGCCGCCGCAGCTGAACCTGGTGATAGAAATTGAATTTGCGGACGCCACAACTGCGCTGTGGTCCGAGAACGCCGGGGCGCACCCGGCGGGGGCCACGCTGAGCACCGACTTCGAGATCCAGAACGTCCGAGTTCTGGCCTCCCAGGTCGTCCTGGACTCTGCGCTGGTAGAGTCCTTCAACCGCGTGCTCCTCTCAGGAAGGTCCCTGGTGTTCAGCTACCCCACGGTGCACACGCAGCAGTCCAGCGTCCCGAACGGAGCGGCGGAACACAACGTCACCGTGGCGCGCGCCTTCACGAAACTCATGGGCGCGTTTGTGACTTTTTGGGACAACGACGCGGGCTCCAAGATCCACTTGCTGGCCAACCCGGGGCAGGACGTGGCCCCCATCGGCGCGGCCAGGCAGGAGGACAGCCTCCTGGAGTCTCAGATGCAGCTGGGCAGCCTGCAGTACCCTCACAACCCCATGAAGGGAGCCTCGGAGCACTTCCACTTCCTCTCCGTCCTTGCGGGCACCTACGACGACACGGTGCGCAACATCGACATCGGCCGCGTGGGCTACCTGCGCCACAGCTTCATTGCCGGCTTTCCCACCGAGCGCGTGCCCAAGATGCCGCTGAGTGGTGTCAGCACCCGCTCGGGCGACCTTGCCCGGTTCACCTTCAAGGGCCTGGACGGCACGGACCTGTTCATCCACCTGGTGGCCTACCAGCTGGTGACGCTCTCCGGCACGGGCGTCTCTGTGCTGGACTAAAAAAAAAAGCCCGCTGTCCTTCTTAGTCGTTTTTGACTAGAGATGACAGCGCCCAAAAATGACAAAAAAAGGCCCGCTGTCCCTCTTAGCCTTTTTTGGCGTTGAGTGACTGCGCCCAAAAAACCAGCAAAAACACGGAAAAATGGACTTGTTCCAGGCCTCTCGGATTAGAGGAAGCCAGAACGGCCTAGTCCGGAATGCTCAGCCGCTCCGCAAGCTCTGCCGTGGCCGCGCGCGCAATCTCGTCGCATAGCGCAGCAGGAACGCTGTAGAGCAGCTCGCGTGGCTGCTGGCTGACACTCTCGTACTGCCCCTCCATCAGCCGAGGCCCCCGCTGCGCGGCGCGGAGGTGCCTGCCGTCCTGCCACGCGCCGCAGCGGCTGCCGGGCCTGCACAGGCCTCGCCTCGGCCTCCAGCGCATGTTGGTCCACAGCCGCGTCTGCTTCCTGTACGGAGTTCCGTACTTGCAGTAGGTCACGTCCACCCAGGGCAGGCGCTCCATGAACGGCCGGGTCTTCAGCAGCCCGGTGGCCGGGTTCTCTATGACCCACATCAAGGGGTCAA